TAAAGAGTAATTCAGTTTGGACAGCAGCGTCATTATGAACATTAAATATGTTAGATGTAGATTTATGTTTGTTTTATTTAAATTGAATGACATGTGACTTTGAATAATTTTTTCTTATTCTTTTTTAGGTGTCAGCTGTGAAGATCTCACTCCAGTCAAGAATGAAGAGCACAGTTTAGAAGACAGCACCGTCACTCTGTCTACAGTTACTCCAAACAAGCTGATGGCAGTGATTATTTTCTTCTGGTATCAACAATATCCAGGAAAACAAACAGTTCATCATCTCTCACACAGGAACAGGACAAACTTATATCAGATCCAGTCTCTGGACTGTCTGTTACAGTGAGGGAGGATAAAAAACATCTGGATCTACAGATCTCCTCTGCTGCACTGACTGACTGCTGTGTACTACTGTGCTCTGAGGCCCACAGTGACAGGAAACACCACAACTCTGTACAAAAACCTCTGGAGAGAAGACAACACAATACTCCACAACCCACTAGAGGGAGTCACACACTGATAACTACAATGGTAAGTAATGATACAGACCAGATCATCTGAACAGTGATTAAAACTAAAGACATGATGTAGAAAATGTGGTTATCTTAAAATAACTTGATCCAGTTTTAGATTCTATTAAAATCCAGTCATAGATTCAACCACTTTATAACATGAAGTTCTGCTGTTCCAAACATTCACACTCTTTACAAACAGATGGAAGACTTCTCCCACATTGCTCTCCTGACATGTTTACCTCAGCTAGACAGCATCAACCTCCACTAGAGGGCGACATTATCTAGTAGGTGGTACAAAACCCAGATATGAGCTCAACCTGTCTTTGAATAATAACTTCTGCTGAGAGAGAACAAACGTCACTCTGAATGTTGAACATCAGAGAGTTCCTCCTGTTGGTTCAAACCTTGTTGTAGAGATGGAACTTTGGCTGTGGATTATTCTGGCTGCTCTTTCTTTGGTGAGATAAAAAGAACAACACATTTTAATGAATCTATTATTAAATAAGTAAACTGGAGTTCAGAGCAGGAATCTCTGAACTGTTGACATGTGTCTGTTCTGACTATAACTGTAGAGTTGACGCTATTCACTGTCTTCCCTTCAGCCTCACTAACAATGTTTAGACTCATGGTGTCCATTTCTACACTTTTTACAGGACCAACAGCTGGAGACAAAATCTATCCTGCAGTCGATGAAGTCAGAGGAACAGAAGGAGAATCTGTCACACTCAGATGTAACTATGAGACAACAACAGAAGATGTTGTTCTCTACTGGTACAGACATCATTCTGACCTCCAGGCACCTCAGTTTATACTCTGGAAAGGAGCCAGATCAAATAGTGGCAGTCAATATATTCCAGATAAACGATATGAATCTCAAACATCACGCAGCTCAACTGAACTGACCATTAGAAAGCTAACCCCTGAAGACACAGCTCTCTACTACTGTGCTTTAGAAACACAGTGATACAAAGTGTAGAAGAGGCTGTACAAAAACCTGAACACAGATATCTGACTACTCTTCAGAGGAGGGAAGTGGGATTCAAACCACAGCTTCATGTCAGATGGATTCTGATGATTCCTGTTTGATCAGAGTCTCTGTGGTTACAGCTGCTGATGAGACACTGAGGGAATTAAATACTCAGCTACTAACTACACATTTTATAGCACCAAATCATAACAAGTGTCATCTCAAGACACTTTACAAAAGCAGGTCGAGACCTTACTCAATGTTATATTAAGATAATCTGCATATTTTCAAAGTGCCATCAAATAACTACTCAAAATGAATCACAAAGTAGATAATGCTTGAAAGTTAGGTAGCTAATGTAACTAGCCCGGAGCAAGCTAATCTTTCTGTGAAGTCAATTAGAACTAGCTAATACATGTTTCTCAGAGTTAAATATGTATTTGGGTGTGGTTATGTGTATCAAAGTACAAAGAAATATGAAATAATGCTAAAGCCACCTAGCTAATTGTTGTGGTTTTCTGTATTGGAGATATCACAAAAATGTAGCGTAGCATTAGTTCAGGCAGGCCACAGAGTCACGCTCTTCTATTATGCCAGAGATTTTGGTAACAGCTGATCTCATGCAAACTTCATCAGCTGATTTGCTTCAAAGCATCCTATTGGCCAAATAGTACTTATGCTGCCTTATTATAACTGCTCTAGACTGCTACTCTTTGCTGCTCCCTCTGCAAGCTACATTTACAAACCTCCTCCACCCAGCTCCTCCTTTTATTCTGTTCTGACTTAATCAATGTCATGCTGTTGTCATTGATGCCTGCTCTGTTTGGGTGTGCTGCTTCTCTCCCTGCCTTAAGCTTTCCTTGTATGAACGGGGAGGGCAGGAATGTGTGCTGTTCCTGCCTAATGCTTTCCACATAAAGATGTGGACGGGCAGGAGATCCCAGAACAACCGCTGAATATAAATAATTGCACATAAAGTTTTTTGTTTTTTTGACAAAGTGGTCCTGACTGAACTCTAGTTCTGTACGATCATTTACTTAAACTGTTCTTAAGAGTTATGAGTTTGAATATGGCCACCGGTGATGTCATCAGAATTCACAGCACCCTTCAATTATATTAAATACAGCCTAATGAAGTGATGTTGAGGAAGGACGTTTTCATCTTGTCCTAACAACTTTAAAACCAATGAATGTGTACGAAACCCCAAAGGATTTTGGTATGTGAACTTCCATTTAAAAAATCAGCATGGTTTGTCCGTTAATGACCCCTTCAAGATGATACTCTAGATGTTAAATGTGGTATGGTGGTTGGTGCTGGGTTGATTTCATGTGCATCTTTTTCAGAATCCTCTCCTGCGATGGTGTTTTGTCACAACCCTTTAAAAGTGACATATCCTGATAGATCAGACCTAGACCTCTACATCCAAGCAATCCAAGCCACCCCACAGCATCAACTGGAACATTTGTGTCCCCTGTCATGTATTAACAGATGAATCTTTATAGAGTCCACTCAGATCAACCAACCAACCTGTAATAGTGGCTATGCATCCCTGGAAGAAGACCTTCTCCGGATCCACAACGGACCTCAACCAGGAGCGATGACACATAGATTTAACGGTACTGTGTCTGTATGTGCTGGCAGAGGAAAGAAGACTGCTTGGAAACTTGGAAGTCTCTCCAGAGGTGAAGGATGGACGGTGGGTCTGGGACACACTTCTGCACATTTGCATCATAGTTGTAGGTTGATGCATTATGTAAGCATACAGAACCAGCAGGCTCACTGCAGAAGAACTGATCTGATCTATTTAACGTTTTCCTCCACTTGAGGGCGACATTATCAGGTAGGCAGTTCATCACCTCTGCACTGAGTTCAACCTTTCTGTCAATACAAACTGCTGCAAGGAAGAGAACTTTTCTCACTCTGAATGTTGAACATCAGAGAGTTCCTCCTGTTGGTTTAAACCTTGTTGTAGAGATGGGACTTTGGCTGTGGATTATTCTGGCTGCTCTTTTATTAGGTGAGAGACAAAGAACATATTCTGATTACTCTGTACATGTTTGTGTTTCTGATTCTCTAGCATAACTAAATCTAATATTATTTTAGAATCATTAAACAATAAATCTCTTCTGTTCTCTTCTCAGAGTGTAAAGGAGAAGACAGAGTGATCCAGCCAACAGAAGATGTCTTTGCTTCTGAAGGAGACACAGTCACACTTGATTGTAAATTGAGACACTGACACAACCCCCTCTTTGTTCTGGTACAGACAAGAAATGGGTGATTTCCCAAAGTACCTGTGGAAAAGCTATGGAAGTTTTTCAGGAAATGCTCCTAGAGACCTAGAACAAGCCCACTCTGTTCTGGTATCGACAAGAATGTAATGATTTTCCGAGATACATGTTGAAATCTTACTCAGACAATGCGAAAAAGCTTCTGAGTTCCAGACAGACGATTTAATGCTGCAATCAACGGGACATCAGTTCCTCTGAAGATCCAGAAGCTTCAGCTGACTGACTCTGCTGTGTACTACTGTGCTGGAGCCACAGTGACAGGAAACACCACAACTCTGTACAGAAACCTCTGGAGAGAAGACAACACAATACTCCACAACATCCACTAGAGGGAGTCACTGTTCAAACATACTTTTCAAAGTCTGATCGAAATATCAAAACTTACATTTCAAGGAGGAGCGAAACTGTTACTGAACTATACAAAGAAAAGGAACTTTAATATTCAGCACACTGCAATACATGACACTGACACATTACTTCATTCAGCATGCAGTCACTGCATTTTTGTGTCTTTTCACTACTATATATTTTCATTATATCAGGTATGTTGGATATAGGAGCATGAAAATAACCCACATTTTATCTGCAGAACAATAAATCGTCTAGTTTTAAGAACACAAATTACCAAAATGTTCATTCTTTCTCCAGGTATCAGCTGTAAAGAAGTCACTCCAGAGAAGAATGAACAGTACAGTTTAGAGAACAGTACTGTTACTCTGTCCTACAGATACTCACAACAAACAACAGCTGGAGATGAATTTTACTGGTATCAACAATATCCAGGAAAACAACCACAGTTCATCATCTCTCATTCAGGAACAGGACAACTTATATCAGATCCAGTCTCTGGACTGTCTGTTACAGTGAGAGAGGATGAAATACATCTGGATCTACAGATCTCCTCTGCTGCACTGACTGACTCTGCTGTGTACTACTGTGCTGTGAGGCCCACAGTGACAGGAAACACCACAACTCTGTACAAAAACCTCTGGAGAGAAGACAACACAATACTCCACAACATCCACTAGAGGGAGTCACACACTGATAAACTTCTATGGTATGTAATGATGAAGGCTTGATGTTTCTCAATTCAGAAATGAAACTAGTTCAACAGATGAGTCTCCTCCCAATGACTGCAGAGGTGTTTGATGACAGAGAACTGTTTGATTCCAGCTGTGAACATCAGACCAAACTCTACTCACAAACTGAATCATATTGAACATTCAGTTACAGCATCTCACCTCTACAAACATGGAACAACTCACTGTTATTTTGTTCTTCTCAGCTCTCATAGGTATGTATGTAAAGGAAAATGTGGGTGTTTAGGGAAATAATATGTATCTACATTTTAAAAGAAGTTGAATTAAAACAATAGATTTTTGAGGTGTGATGGATTGTGTTGCATTAAGAGTTGAATTTCAATAAAATACGATTCTGTATCATATCTTCTTTTTTAGAATCCAGCTATGAAGAGCTCACTCCAGTTAAGAATGAAGAGTTCAGTTTAGAAGGCAGCACTGTTACTCTGTCATACAGTTACCCTGAACTGTTAACTGGTAATTATTTCTTCTGGTATCGACAACATCCAGGAAAACAACCACAGCTCCTTGTTCGTCACGGCGCTTCAGGAACGATAGGAAATGCATTTAGATCAGGATTAAAGATTTCAGTGGAGCAAAAAGAAATCAACATGAACATCTCCTCTGTTGCACTGACTGACTCTGCTGTGTACTACTGTGCTGTGAGGCCCACAGTGACAGGAAACACCACACCTCTGTACAAAAACCTCTGGAGAGAAGACAATACAATACTCCACAACATCCACTAGAGGGAGTCACTTACTATAAACTGGAATCGGTCAGGAGGGTAACTTACAAGACAGATCATTAAAAGCGAGCAGAGTGTCAGTCAAAGATGTTCAGTGTAAAGTTGTCAGTCGGGGAATAACACAGGGCTGTGAATGAGACCTGTCTCTGTGATCAGGCTCCTCCTTCTAATCCTCTAACTTAGTGTTGATGTGGACTAAACACAGAGATCACAGCCTTCTTTATACTCTCTGTAACTCAGAGTTATTAACACTGCAGATATGATGTCTCTGGTTATCTCAGTGTTGCTGGCTGCTGTGTGTCTTGGTATGAACTCTGTTTCTTTGATATCAATCCAACACTGACATGATTCTTTAACAGCACACTAATACTATTTGTTACTGCTTTACAGAATGTATGGCACAAAAAGACAACGTGCTGCAACCAGAAGGAGATGTGACTGCTACTGAAGGAGAGGCAGTAACTCTTGGCTGTCAATACAACAGCAGTTCATCAAATGAGTATCTCTACTGGTACAAACAGGATGGAAACAACAGCCCCAAATTCATACTGAGCCGCTTTAAGATTGGAGAAGGGAAAACAATGAAAGAGTTTGAGGAGAGATTTTCATCCACACTGGATTCTACTTAAAGATCAGTTCCTCTGAAGATCCAGAAGCTTCAGCTGACTGACTCTGCTGTGTACTACTGTGCTCTGCAGCCCACAGTGACAGGAAACACCACAACTCTGTACAAAAACCTCTGGAGAGAAGACAACACAATACTCCACAACATCCACTAGAGGGAGCATCAGACCGAACAACTCAGCACCAACTCATACTAGTTCTTCCTTTACAGCACCTCACCTCTGTAAATGTGGGAGAACTCACAATGGCCTCCAGTTAAAAACAAGTTCAAGTTCTAAATAAGGTGTTCCTCTGGCCACGCCCACTGAGGCAAACCAATGAGATTGTCTGTATCTCCAGAGCAGAAAAGTTTGAGGAAGTCAAATTAAAATCATGTCAAAGTAGAGGAGAACATCTGTGCAGCACAGAGGCTGTTTAGTTTAGAAGAACATTACTCATCTGCTGTCTGTTTGTCTTCAACAACTCCAAAGACATGCTGCTTTACCTCTTTTTACTTTGCTCTCACTTTATAGGTGAGTGTTACAACACACATCAAACTCTAATTTCACCTGCTGTTTAGACCAGATATCTGAACAACTATTTCAAAGTAGATGTTTATCTGTGGGAGCTACAAATTCCACTGATAGAAAAAGACTTTTGTTTTCTTCATGAATCTCAAAATGATCAAAGATGACTGATGAAGTAGAGGACTGATTTTCAGTCTCTTGATGTCTGAATCTCTTGCAGACTAACAGACATGTATAATACTTGTTTTGCAGCCCTGGGCTCCATGAACAGCATAAACCCAGAAACAACTGAAGAAAAGTTGAAGAGGGAGGAAACATCAACCTGACCTGTACATATGATGGTTTATTACAACATCCAGTGGTATAGAGAAAACCAGAGATCCAGACCAGAGTTCCTGCTCTACATCACAGAGGGAGGAACGATTCATCCAACAGATTCTGATTTCTCAGCTTACATTAACAAAACGGAGAAACGAGTAAATCTGGAGATCTCCTCTGCTGCACTGACTGACTCTGCTGTGTACTACTGTGCTCTGCAGCCCACAGTGACAGGAAACACCACAACTCTGTACAAAAACCTCTGGAGAGAAGACAACACAATACTCCACAACATCCACTAGAGGGAGTCACACACTGATAAACTTCTATGGTATGTCATGATGAAGGCTTGATGTTTCTCAATTCAGAAATGAAACTAGTTCAACAGATGAGTCTCCTCCCAATGACTGCAGAGGTGTTTGATGACAGAGAACTGTTTGATTCCAGCTGTGAACATCAGACCAAACTCTACTCACAAAACTGAATCATACTGAACATTCAGTTACAGCATCTCACCTCTACAAACATGGAACAACTCACTGTTATTTTGTTCTTATCAGCTCTCATAGGTATGTATGTAATAAATGGACAGTGTGTTGTGATTTTGAAAATAAAGAGTAATTCAGTTTGGACAGCAGCTGTCATTATAACATTAAATATGTTAGATGTAGATTTATGTTTGTTCAATGTATAAATTGAATGACATGTGACTTTGAATAATTTCTTTTGCTTCATCTTTTTTAGGTGTCAGCTGTGAAGATCTCACTCCAGTCAAGAATGAAGAGCACAGTTTAGAAGACAGCACCGTCACTCTGTCCTACAGTTACTCCAAACAAGCTGATGGCAGTGATTATTTCTTCTGGTATCAACAATATCCAGGAAAACAACCACAGTTCATCATCTCTCACACAGGAACAGGACAACTTATATCAGATCCAGTCTCTGGACTGTCTGTTACAGTGAGGGAGGATAAAAAACATCTGGATCTACAGATCTCCTCTGCTGCACTGACTGACTCTGCTGTGTACTACTGTGCTCTGAGGCCCACAGTGACAGGAAACACCACAACTCTGTACAAAAACCTCTGGAGAGAAGACAACACAATACTCCACAACGTCCACTAGAGGGAGTCACACACTGATAAACTACAATGGTAAGTAATGATACAGACCAGATCATCTGAACAGTGATTAAAACTAAAGACATGATGTAGAAAATGTGGTTATCTTAAAATAACTTGATCCAGTTTTAGATTCTATTAAAATCCAGTCATAGATTCAACCACTTTATAACATGAAGTTCTGCTGTTCCAAACATTCACACTCTTTACAAACAGATGGAAGACTTCTCCCACATTGCTCTCCTGACATGTTTACCTCAGCTAGACAGCATCAACCTCCACTAGAGGGCGACATTATCTAGTAGGTGGTACAAAACCCAGATACTGAGCTCAACCTGTCTTTGAATAATAACTTCTGCTGAGAAGAGAACAAACGTCACTCTGAATGTTGAACATCAGAGAGTTCCTCCTGTTGGTTCAAACCTTGTTGTAGAGATGGAACTTTGGCTGTGGATTATTCTGGCTGCTCTTTTCTTTGGTGAGATAAAAAGAACAACACATTTTAATCAATCTATTTATTAAATAAGTAAACTGGAGTTCAGAGCAGGAATCTCTGAACTGTTGACATGTGTCTGTTCTGACTATAACTGTAGAGTTGACATTCACTGTCTTCCCTTCAGCCTCACTAACAATGTTTAGACTCATGGTGTCCATTTCTACACTTTTTACAGGACAACAGCTGGAGACAAAATCTATCCTGCAGTCGATGAAGTCAGAGGAACAGAAGGAGAATCTGTCACACTCAGATGTAACTATGAGACAACAACAGAAGATGTTTCTCTACTGGTACAGACATCATTCTGACCTCCAGGCACCTCAGTTTATACTCTGGAAAGGAGCAGATCAAAAGTGGCAGTCAATATATTCCAGATAAACGATATGAATCTCAAACATCACGCAGCTCAACTGAACTGACCATTAGAAAGCTAACCCCTGAAGACACAGCTCTCTACTACTGTGCTTTAGAAACACAGTGATACAAAGTGTAGAAGAGGCTGTACAAAAACCTGAACACAGATATCTGACTACTCTTCAAAGAGGAGGGAAGTGGGATTCAAACCACAGCTTCATGTCAGATGGATTCTGATGATTCCTGTTTGATCAGAGTCTCTGTGGTTACAGCTGCTGATGAGACACTGAGGGAATTAAATACTCAGCTACTAACTACACATTTTGTATAGCACCAAATCATAACAAGTGTCATCTCAAGACACTTTACAAAAGAGCAGGTCGAGACCTTACTCAATGTTATATTAAGATAATCTGCATATTATCAAAGTGCCATCAAATAACTACTCAAAATGAATCACAAAGTAGATAATGCTTGAAAGTTAGGTAGCTAATGTAACTAGCCCGGTAGCAAGCTAATCCCTCTGTGAAGTCAATTAGAACTAGCTAATACATGTTTCTCAGAGTTAAATATGTATTTGGGTGTGGTTATGTGTATCAAAGTACAAAGAAATATGAAATAATGCTAAAGCCACCTAGCTAATTGTTGTGGTTTTCTGTATTGGAGATATCACAAAAATGTAGCGTAGCATTAGTTCAGGCAGGCCACAGAGTCACGCTCTTCTATTATGCCAGAGATTTTGGTAACAGCTGATCTCATGCAAACTTCATCAGCTGATTTGCTTCAAAGCATCCTATTGGCCAAATAGTACTTATGCTGCCTTATTATAACTGCTCTAGACTGCCTACTCTTTGCTGCTCCCTCTGCAAGCTACATTTACAAACCTCCTCCACCCCAGCTCCTCCTTTTATTCTGTTCTGACTTAATCAATGTCATGCTGTTGTCATTGATGCCTGCTCTGTTTGGGTGTGCTGCTTCTCTCCCTGCCTTAAGCTTTCCTTGTATGAACGGGGAGGGCAGGAATGTGTGCTGTTCCTGCCTAATGCTTTCCACATAAAGATGTGGACGGGCAGGAAGATCCCAGAACAACCGCTGAATATAAATAATTGCAATAAAGTTTTTTTTTTTGACAAAGTGGTCCTGACTGAACTCTAGTTCTGTACGATCATTTACTTAACTGTTCTTAAGAGTTAATGAGTTTGAATATGGCCACCGGTGATGTCATCAGAATTCACAGCACCCTTCAATTATATTAAATACAGCCTAATGAAGTGATGTTGAGGAAGGACGTTTTCATCTTGTCCTAACAACTTTAAAACCAATCAATGTGTACGAAACCCCAAAGGATTTTGGTATGTGAACTTCCATTTAAAAAATCAGCATGGTTTGTCCATTAATGACCCCTTCAAGAAGATACTCTAGATGTTAAATGTGGTATGGTGGTTGGTGCTGGGTTGATTTCATGTGCATCTTTTTCAGAATCCTCTCCTGTGATG